ATTTCTACTTATAAATACCGTACGGATCAGGCCCTGTCTCTCAGTCGCCCCGTTATATGCCGTAGGCTCGGCTGTTATTCAGAAACGGTAATGAGAACTGGTGGATACCCTCCAAAAGTTCAGTTACCTCCACATACTGGAGAGGGAAACATTAATAGGACAGATGAGCCACCAGTACAGGATGCTGCTCTCTTCAGAGTTGACCCACCCTAGGGGCAGTATTTTCTCAATTTCCCTGGCATGTTTGAAAATGTATAGCCCGGGCAGCTGACCTTTTTAGCAGGCATAGCACAGATTAGCCCTGCACCCTCCCGATGAGTGCCGCTCGAAGCCCCTTTCCCTGCCCGAACGGCTGCTCTGCTTTCTGCTCCCTGCCCTGTGCTCCCTTTCAATCTGAACATTTGGACTGGAAACCTGCAGGTTTTCTCCGTAGACATCCAGCGCGCACATTTTGCAGCCAAGTTGCCAAGATCACAAGAACTGCTTTTTTTAATGCTATGTCAAGATGTCTGGCCTCTGACGCACTCCATAAGTCAGATGCACAACCATTCAAAATAAAAAAAGAAGGAACGGTCAACCCTAATATATTTTTCTCAATTTGAAAAAAACAGTTTAGATTTATTTTGGGGCCACTTCAAATTATGTTTGAGAGACTAGCATAAGTGTCTCTGGCCAAGCCTGCATGATAAACTCATGACCGAGAAGGATGCCACTAGCCTGTCGCTGCAACAGTTTAAAACTTAACCCAGACAGATGCTTTAGGAATTTGGCATTTGATTGGAGATTATAAACCACCCAGGGACTCTGAGATAATGGGCACTGGTAACTATCTAGCTGCCAGGAGTTTAGGATTGGTGATTGTAGCGGGCAGACAAAGTTCTTTGGGTAGATGTGATATCTTTTATTAGGCCAACTAAATAGATGGAAAAAATGGTCTTTGCAAGCTTTCAGGCACAAACACCCTTCTCCAGAAGTTTAAAAGAACTGCCATTGCAAGCCACTTAGCACTTGGATAACAGACCCAAATGACTCATCTCTTGTGTAAGAGCCCTGGCATAGGTCAAGGTTTTCTCAATATGAGGAGCCTGCGCTGATTGGTAGCATATCTCACTGCCTTAAGGATGGTATTAGAATCATCTTGCCACTGGTAGTTTAGTCCACATTGGTAGTACTCAAAGTTTTGGTCCCACGGGCCAGATGACTGGCACAGGGCTGGTCCCTGGGCTAGACTGGGTCCCATGCACCAGGATCAGGCCCCACCTAGACTCAGCTAGCCCCATGTATCAGGATCAAGCTCTGTGCTACCCCCATGTGCAAGGATTGGGCCCCATATGCTGAGATCTTACCCTGGGGCCCTTCATCACCCCCACCCAGTCTCAAGTGCCATGGTCAGGCTCTGCACTGCCCCCACCCAGCCCCAAGCACCGGGATCAGGCCCCACACTATCCTGTGTACCTGATCCAGTATGCAGCCCATGCACAACTTAGGAAATTTGGCAGTAGATGAGTGATCTCACCATTCCCCTGCAGCCAAATTTTCAGATCCTTTTTCAGATGGTCTGGATGACATGGCTCTGGGGGCTGGATCTGGCCCAGCTGCCAGGGGTTGAGCACCCCTTGTCTAGGTTCGTAGATCTGGTGACCCTGGTACCAACAGACTTATTAGACTTGGCCCACAAAGTCTGACTGTCGCACTATAGACTGGAACAGCTAATCACTTAGGCATTATTTAACAGCTCAATCCATAACAGAGGTAATATATTTTCTTTAAAAAGAAGGGAAATGTTTTCTATTTACGGAGCAATAATCAAATGCAACTCAACCCAGACCCTCTCCTCCCCTTCCTTAACCAGAATCCAGCCCAGCAACCTCAGTTCATTCATTCCCAGGCAGCTCATTTACCCTGCGTTCATCCGGGAGAGCCGGGAAAGCTACAGTTGAGCCCTAACTGAGAACAGAGAATTGGCCTTTGAATGAAGTGACTGTTAACTTTTAAGGGGATAAATAGGTACCATATGGTTTGGCTCCATTTCTAGGCAGGAGGAGGGGAGGAGGATGTTTTAGCACAATATTGGAAGTGTGTGAACATCCAATATCAAGAAACATTATTGTGAGTGGTCCAAAGGACTCGTGGCATTATCAAAAACCATGAGACAGGTATAAAAATCACATTTTTTTTTGAAAAGCAATGAAGTCAGGGCTCTTTGGTCTTTGCCTTCTGTGTTTTGAGCCTTTACACTGTATTCCGACCAAATTTTCCATCTTTTCTCAGCATCCATGACAGCACAAACTTGCTACTTCTTGAAATGAATGCAGATATTCTTACCCAATCCCAGGAGTCCAGCAGCTGAGACTTGAAGGGGAAAAATGTGCAGGGCTTGCAACAAAATTAGAAACACTGGGATGTGATTGCCACTTAAAACACTGGAATATAATTCAGAAAAAAGAAAATTTAGGATGAACCTTATGGAAAAGCTTCCTTAAAATGCAATCAGATCAGAATTCTGTTAGGATCGGTTAGGAACTGGAAGAAGCCTCATGGCTTTGAACATTTACAACAGGGATGGACAAAGTGCTAGAGAAGATACGTGAGGGAACAATCCTGCACCGGCAGGAAGATGGCTGAGATATGACCTTCTTGGTATTTTCCATCTGTAATTTCTATAGCTCTATGAAATATTCATAATGGAAATGCTGACATGCTGCCTTAGTGCTCCAGTCTGCTAACGCCATCCAATCTCTCTGCTGCACATGAAATCATAATCTTAGCTAATAAACGCCCCAATGAATCAATCAAATCTTGTTACGAGGTTCATCTTTTGATCATTATTAGGGCTACAACTTTGCAGCAGTATGTTATGAAAAGGCACAGCCAGGCCATGAAAAGGAACAGAAGAAGCTTATAAAATATATACTGTCAAAAATATGAAAAGTCATGGGTCACCTTATTTTAATCAAAACATTGTCATCTTTTGTAAAACTCATTTGCTATCAATAAATTACCTAAAACTACAACTTCTCTCCCAGTGCAGGGTCAGCTATGCAGCAATGCAACAGTGAGAGCAGAGCAATGAGGGGTACTATGATTTATGATTGCCTTCAGATTTTGGGCAACCACTGATTCTACAGGATGTAATCCAGCACAGTTTCCTCCTGATCCCTATCAGTGCTTGCATAGAGGGCTTAGATTCCCACCTGGCAATGTAATGCCTGCTCATTCCTTTCTAATGTCCCCATTGTGCCTAAGTATCTGAAATGGGGAAGAAGAGCAAAAGAGCCCTAATAATGATCAAAAGATTAACCTGTGCAAGGGTAGCAGATGCCCAGCTATACTGAGACACCCAGGAGAATTCTGTGGGTGAAGTTACACAGTACACTCCGACCATACAAAGGACGCATAAAATGCGAGCATCTGCATGATAAAGCTCGTTAAATCATTCTAAGTGCCCTCTGAGCGTCTCAAAATTACGCCACTTCAGGTGAGGGTTATGCTACTTAGGTTGCGTGAAGGTAACTTCAGTCTGCTCCATGGAGATAAACAGTGGCGACGTGTAGGGGCGTGCACTTGCACCCCCTGAGAGCACTGGTGCACCCCCTGACCAACCATGCTCACTGCTTAGGCGATGGGCAGGGGGCGCAGGCAGGAGCACCGGTAACCCCCCTCAAGGGCTGGCCAGGGAGTGGAAGTGGCTGCAGCATTTGGCCACAGTGATCAGCTGTCTTATGATCGGCTGCGAGGGACCCGCCCCTCCCTCCCCCCCCGGTCACTGGGGGGGCACATGCCCCCCCAACTAAGGCGGCACCAGTCGCCCATGGAGATAAAACAAGCAATTTACAGTCCTTCAGAATTGAGGATACACTGTTCCCAGCCCCCGCTGCTTTTGTCTCCAGAGCAAAGACAGAAGCCAGGTATCCTGGCCCCTAGGCCTGCCCTTGTTCACCAGCCCTTCAGTGGCAAGTCAGAGCTGTGCAGGCAAGAAATGGTATTAATCCTTAATATGCAACTGCTCACAGCTTGTTCAAACTTGAACACCCCTTAACATTGCCCAGATTTAGTATGATCTAAGTGCAATGTGTAGCTTCACCCTATTTGAAGCTTTGTCCATGACACGGCTATGCTACCTACCATCGAGCCAGCCAGCTCCCAGCACACAGGAACAAACATAGTCTGGGATTTTCAAAATGTAAGCAGATTAGGTACCCAACTTCTGTTAAGAAAACCTGGTCTGTGGAGGGCAGCAAAAACTGAGCTAAGCAACAACACAGGAAAGCAATCTAGTTCGGTAATCTTTAACAGACAGCTGAACCGATTCTACAGAAAATCTTGGGGATTCTTCAAAGTAGGCCCTGAAATCAAATGGCAGCTTGTTGTAGGCGGCTGCTCCAAAGACAGAACAGCTAGCCTTGTGCTTAAAGCAGAGGACTGGGAATCAAAAAATCGGTATTCTAATCCCAGACTACCTGTGTGGCCTTAGGCCAGTCATTCAAAGGCAAGGTTATAAAAGGAATATAAATAAAAAGAGGAAAATTGGAGGCAAAATTTTGTGGGCAGCATCATCCAGCCAGAATTATTAGCTCCATTAATTACAAGGAAAATCTGACTGCTGGTTTGCCTATACAGTGAGGCAGTTCGCTATCTAAATGCTAGAATATTCACCCACATTTGACTGCAGGTTCAAAACCGAGGTTCTCTGTCTCTGTTTCAGTTTCTCCATGTGTAAAACGACAATAATATAATACACTTACTAACCTCAAAAGATTTCCAAATTAATCAATTCATGTCTATCCTGCACTTTGAGGTCCTCAGATGGAAGGCGCTATAAAGATATAAAGTACCGAGCATGATTTTAATTGGGACTATGACGGTTATATTAGTCTAACCATTTGCATCATTGAATTGTAAAGGCACAAGCAGCAAGAAATTGTCCTGTGTGCCATCTGCAATAGCGAAGATGATATGTGGCTGGAGATATATACTTTTTCCTTTTCATTTCTTTCCAGTGCTCCTACATACCTAAGTGTGGCAAGAATTATGAAGAGTCCCTGTCACTCGTGAACGTTGTAATGGAAAACTTCAGGAAGTACCAACGCTTCTCGTGTTTTTATGACCCAGATGGCATTCAAAAGAACGTGATATTAACCAAACTTTACAGTTCCAATGTGCTGTTCCACTCACTTTTCTGGCCTACGTGCATGATGATTGGTGGGATTGCTATTGTTGCCATGGTAAAGCTGACTCAATATCTTTCTCTCCTCTGTGAAAGAATCCAAAGGATCAATAGATAAAAGCAAAAACTTCTCTGAGATTTATTTACAGCTAAAATACTGTTTTTTCATTCTTCACCAAAGAACCTTAAGTTTGTAATGTGCAAGTCTGTTATAAGTTCCTTAATATATTCTTATAAGTAGAGCAATAATGCAAAAGCTGTTCTATATGCAAACATGATGTTATTATTATGCAGACAAGAGAAAAAAAAATTACCATTTGTGTTGATGGTCTATATGATTTGATTTTATGCTGGAGCTAGTATTTTCTTTTCTACAGCCAAAATAGGGCTCGGTGTCACCATTTGCCAAGTTTTATGAACATGTCAGCATTTCAGTGTAAACTCATTCTGGGGAAAAATTCACCTTTCTAGGCCAGGTAGCAAAAGGCCTATGCATCAGATAAGTCCCACTTAAACCTTACGACATGCAGTGGACGGATCCTTTGTTTGGGGGGCGTACAAAGGTATAGAATTGACTAAAGGAGGAGGGTTTAGGGTAAGTGTAGTTGGAGGAAAGACTACAGTATTAACAGCATAAATGGGACTTAATGGTGTGTTGTGCTGGCTTTCCCCTTTGGGGAGTAAGTATCTCCCTCTGGTGTTTTAGATCTTTTGCAAAATCAAAATGGATAGTCTTTTTTTGGTTGGTTGGTTTGCAATATGTTTTCCTCATGCCTTAGCATCATCTACAGAAGCTACAGCCAAAAAAAAATCAAATTCAACCAATTTCATTTTTTACACCAAGCTGAGCCCTATTGGTGGAGATGGGACCAGAACACCTTATGTAAAGGTTTATTACGCATTTGTCTTGCATTTGCTACCATATCACTGTAAAGGGGGAAAAAAAAACAAAACACAATCAGCTATTTTTTCATTTTTTACTTCCAACTATTTTAGATTTTTTTACTTGATATATATATAAATATATATATATATATATATAAAAGACAAAAGCTATATACTATATAGTTGTGTATTGTAACTTAATTATGTTACTTTTTGTTCCGTTGTTTGTTTTTACTGACTGGAAAGTGAGCAGTATAACTCCTGTATTCATCAAAAGCCTGGATAAAATCATAATATTGAAGAGCTGGAACATAGGATGTTATCCCACATTCATGATGTTGTTTCAGTCAAAGGTCTCTATTGCTGTGACACTTGGTTTGAAAAGTATCTTGTCCACTTCGCTAGATTGACTAATCGAATTGTTAGATAATAATCGTAACGCTTCTGGAAATCTTTCCTGATCTTTACTCAGAATGCAGTGGCGGCTGAAGTGACTGTCATTTTAAGAGGTCCCGCTGTAGTACGAGTTATTCAAGACATTGAAATTCAGACAAATATGTTGTCCTATCTGTCATGTGTTTACCATGGGGACGTCACCGGTATAATTCTGCGCGCACGGTGTCAGTGTCCTCTGCATAACTGATTTCTATTTCCCTAGTCACAACTTTCTCTCTTACGTTACACTTTCAAGACGGTGTCAAAGCTTCCTACTTTGCACTTAACCTGAAGGACAAATTTGACGCGATCTCTGTGATCAACCCGTGGACTTCACAGCAGGATATTTGTTGAAAAATTAATTGCAGGTCTATTCCAAACAAAAAAAAGTCTCCTTCCCCACCCACCAAAAAGAACAAAATTAAGTCTTCTGTCCAGATCATTCATATATAAGTATCTTTTCCCATGATATCATTTTAAAGTATTACAAAAAATTGCAAATCATACCAATATAATCTGAGCTGTACCTGAATCCACAGCCGAGGAATTAACCTGCAATCTTGTATTCCATAATATGACTTTTCTTAGGCAAATAGACTTCTGGGGGTGGGGGAGGGGCTGCAATCAGGGCTCCAGAAATGTAAAATAAAAACGATTCAATTAAACCTTCCAGATTTCAATACCTTTTGCATTCAGAACTGACTTGCTTCAGCAAATTTTGCTTTGTAGCTTTTTTTTGCTTTTTTTTTTTTTTGGTCAGAACACCAGGTTTGCCAACCATCTGTAATCTAACAGAAAGTCTGTAAAAGTCTCTTTGTAAATTCAGTGTATTTATCTATCTGAGAGTTTTGTACAGTCCTTCATCATTTGTACCCGAGTAAGTTCCCCATTAATTAGGCTGGCAATAACAAAGTCCCTCACGAACTTCAAGAAGATTCTGCTCAAATTTAAAAGAGCTTGCCACCCCCGCAATTTTCTATATGCATAGAAAACATGATTGATGCCTCATTCTCTCTTGCGAGAAAGTTTCCCTCTAAGATGGATAGAGATTGCAGTCTGTTGCCAAGAGGAATATGCAGAGATGTAACTGGACATTTGAGCGTCCGTGATGATGGTGGTGCACACAGCATCAGCAATGTGCTGGCAGCGCCCGGGTTGGCAGCACGTCTGCTGCTCTTTCTGAGTCACCACCAGGGTCGGTGCTTGGCACTGGTACCCCATTTGCCCCACTTCGTTACAGTACTGGTAATCCTAAATGATCTTAAGGAGCCCGTGGAAAAACAGGCAGAGGAATGTTTATGTCTGTGCATTATCTTGCTTTTATTGCGGACACCCCAAGAGAGGGCAAGGAGAAGCATGTACTCCTGAAGTGGAGGCAACTCCTCGGTTATACCAGCTTGTAAGCAGGAGAGCTGCAAGAGTCGCCAGAGAGAGCTCCATTGCATCTGAGCAAAAGGAGCATTAGCATTGCTACAGGCAAGAGCAGGCAGAACCCAACAATACCCAACAGTTGAGGAACCTGAGCAGAGCTGCTACTCTGAGTGAGTGTAAGGACATTTGGTGGGAGGCAGACAAATCTACAGGACATAGAAAAGGTGAGGAATGGATACTTTCAGGTTCAGACAATGCTGAGACAGCTTGTTCGGTCCAAACTGGAAGGAAGGGCCATATTAGGGAGATGGTCGGTCAAGAAAAGAGCCCAAGATTGGGAGCCAAGAGAACTAGGTTCTCCTTACAGCTCTGCTAAAGATAGCCCAGGTAAGTCCCTTTTCCATTTTGCTACGGGTTCCTGAGATAAGGTACACCACTTGCTGTCCCTAGTGTACAGAGATGTGCTTGCGCACTTGTACAAATACGCAGAAGACTATACAGTATAACTGCAAACGGTTATTATTATGCAAGTATAATATGAAAGGGTTTGTAACCCATGAAGGAAACTAGGCCAAAGCCCTGACTGCATATAAAGGAAAGGCACACATTTTAAAATGTAGCATGGCCAGGCAGAGTCACGTGGCATATTCATCCATCAGAAGGTTGATGCTTTCCTCCTAAGTAAAAAGGGTCGATCTGTAATGAGCCACTTAAGCAGTCCTCTGTGTCACTGAATACCTTCAGTGGGGCTGTATATACCATAGGATGAATCCACCTGTCTAGATTTCAATCATCACAAATTAAAAAAAAAAAAACTGATGGAAGACCTTATCTACCAAAGAGCTGTAATAACAGATGGTTCGTCAAGAAATTCCTGACACTAATGTTGGCTGTGTACGTGCTGATTTACGTGGCCAGTGATCAAATAGCTCCTCAGTTGCACGCGTGACATTTTAGGGGCTGTGTTTGTGCATTTTCTTTCGAGTGACAGGAAAGCTGATTATGCTTGACATTTGCACATCAAACGCTGTTTTCGACATGTTGTGCCATAAACATTTTACCGGCATTCCT